TCTGTCTAAATACCTCACCTGGGAATCTCCCACAACCAAAATTCGCTTCGGTACCTCCTTAACTTTCTGAGCAGACTGAGGGCCCTGCGCTCCGCCACTTCTCGCTGGTTTTCGTTCCGAGTGAACTGCAGGCGCACCACAGCACTCGTCCTCCAACACGGCAAATGAATTTGCTGTCCTTAGGGCGTCTGTAGGTGGCCTTGTCAAGGTCTTCTTAAAACCCCTGTCCTTCACGACTCTCCATGATGAGGTCCCGTTAACACTGGTCTCCTCCTTCGTTTCTTCCCGAAGTCTCGGCCGTCGTACCTCCTCCCGCAGGGAATCCATCTCTGCTCTCAGAGCTCCAACCAGACTCGCCAAATCCTTCACTAATCTTTCCATTATTGCAATAATAATGTTACTCCAGAGCTCCTGCTAACACAACCTCTCACTGTGACAGCACCTGACTGACTCTATTCTCTATTTATTGAAGAGTTTGCTGTGTCAAAGACATTTATACTTGTGTGACATTAATAGTATAAGTTTGTGTCAAAGAATATATATATATATAAATGTACCATTTATTAGTATAAGGCTGTGTGCCCCGTATTGACTCATTATTGCTAATATTGATGAAGTGGTCTATATATATGCTGGAGTATTGAACAACATATTCATGTGTACAGTGATTTACTATGTTATTGCCTTTGAAGTGACTTATTGCATTTATTACCATTACTGTGATATACGGTGTTTAATGCCATTACTGTGAGCTACTGTGTTAATCGCCATTGAAATGAATTTTTGAGCTTAAGGCCAGTGCAGTGATCATTGCATTTAATGCCATTATAGCAAGTTATTGTGTTGATTGCCAGAGTTGTGTTTGCTGTGAATTTAAAGAAATAGGCACTTAACGCCAGGGAAACATGTACAGAGAGAGACCATACAGCGAGGGGGCGTGGCAGCTGTGAATGACAGGAGGGGGAGTGTTGCCGTTTGGTTGCGCTCCAGTTTATGAAGAGGGAGTATTCCGCTGCCATGTATTTCATCGCCTTGTTGTGGATATAGAGAGATAATACTTTAATATTTTAAGTAAAATACAAAACTACCTTCGCGTTTGCATTATCTCTCCAATGCTTGTTGCTATAGAGTCCATTGAAGGAGTGAGAGTGATAGAGACACATACCTACCTGATACCAGATTTATTTAGTGTGCTCTTGACACTATTACCACAATCCCACGAAACCACTGGCGTGTTACTGGACACGGGAAACAACAGTTGGCGACCTTTCAGTTAGCAGTAGAGACCTCTGTCGGGGCGGGCACATGATCAAGAGAGTAGCTCGTGTTCATACTCGTCTTTGGCTAGGAGGCCAGCTGGAGATTGACTGGGAAACTCTCCAGATGAACAGTGGCACCTCGAGGATGGAGTGAAGACCCGCAGGGCTACAGTAAGTAACAGTTACCACTACTAGTACTTGGTAGTGGCTGGTGAGAGGTAGAGAAACCCCGACATTGTCGATATTGACAGGATGTAAAGTACGGTTATTTACTTACTTACTGATTTAAGTGAATCCCCGACATTGGCGACCTTGCCAGGATTCTAAGTATGGTTACTTACTGGACGAAACCCCGACAGTAGTCAACCCCTTGCGTTAATCAATCACTTAATTACCGACGGCTCATCAATTCGTTAACACTACTTTAGTCGTCCTTCCGACAATTCCTCACCACTGCGTGAACTCACTGTGCCTGCTGCTAATTACACAAATTAGCAAGGGGGTGCTCAACTAACTGTCACACGGGCATGTAACTGCCCCCACAGATTATGTGAGTGACTTTAACCCAGTGACGTTAATGACTTTAAATCCTCGGAGGCATGGTGTATCGACCAATCATGTTCTCCCAAGGCGACGCTCTCCCTCATGGCACGTGGGGGGCCCAAAGGTGGGGAATCAGCCTTCAACCATTAACCCCCCCTATCTCCCCTCTCCTCTTGAACTTCTACAAAAATTCACCTGAAATTAACTCCTTGCTATAACTTTCTCTACAGACTTGGGTAAGTTAGCCTCTATGTAGTGCTGGTGACTTAATGAAGACTAAGTTAGCCTTTTTTTTTTATTTTTATTTTTACATGCAGGCATGCAATTTAAATACAATAAAAACAAGACAAGAACATGAAAACATAATAAAACAAACAAAACAAGAAACCACCGGCCAGAAGGGCCGACAGCACAGTACAACAAATTACAAACTCGATAAATGCATGATAAACACAGCAAACAAAATAGAAAACAATGCCAAACATGCAAGCACAGTAACAGTACAAAACAAAACAAAGTAAAGTAAAACAAAACAAACATCAAGAGGAACAACATAAAACATAACAGGAAAATCACAATATACATCAAACAAAACAAAAATAAAAAATAAGTACACGTAATGCAAGAATAAACCACCAGTGCAAAGGTACATTTCATAAACAAGACATAAATAAAAGCACGCACACCAAACCAACCGCCTCGCAACAAACAAAGGGAGAGGCCAAAATATACAATAATTACAAACAAGCAAACCACGCAATGAAAAAAACGAAACATAGTAACATACACAACAACAAACAAGCACCGGCCTGAAGGACCGAGAACAAAACACAACATAAAGGACCTCATGAAAACCGGACAAGAAAATGCACAGCACACAACAAGCCAAAAAGAAAAACAAAAAACAATAACAAAAAAAAATTAAAAAAAAATAAAAAACAAAATAAAAAACAAAATAAAAACAAAATTACAAATAACAAAAAGGAAAAGAAAAACAAAACACATTTTACCATGCATAAGTAGAACACACATGGCAAAGTAACAACACAAAAGCAAATACATGAATAAAAACGCCCTCACCAAAACACCTGCCTTGCAACAAATAAGGGAGAGGCACGGGCACAAAACACAATAGGACAAACAAAAGGCCATAGGGGCACACAACACTACAGTAACATGAAATCAGCTGACATATTTGCCCGGGAACAAGACCCGGGGGAACCGCGCATTGAACGCCACCCAATGCAGCCACCGCCCCCAAGAGTCGTGATCCTCCGGGGGCTCCATGACATCCGGAACCCCGGCAACAAACACCCGCAAGCAGGGAACCCAGACGGTGTCGCTCCGGAGGCGAGTAACCGCCACCAGACTCCATACAACGGGAACCCGCCCATCATGAAAGTCCTCCGGCCTTTCCGACAGCAGGGACTCGGCAACCACGGCCTCCAGTGCCTCATCTCGCAACTCCACAAGAGGGGGCTGGACAGAGGGCACCACCACAGGGGCACCAGCGGCCATGGGCACACCACCAGACGACTGAGGGAACTTGGGCAGCGCGCATCCTTACATAAAGTCACTACCAGGCCACGCCCAGCACCAGCATCTGCACTATTCCTGGTAGTGGAAGCCACCACACCCCACTGTGGACAACCCCCTGGTGGGGAAGGAACATAAGGCACACCCAAGACACGAGCATCAGCACCAGCAGGCACATGTACCTCCGCCACCACCAACCGCGGAGACAACGACGCATCTGGATCCACGCCATCAACACAGTCACTGAAGTCCCCAACATCGGCCCAGGCAGTAGACGAACGCCTGGAATGTTTGGGCTTCGACCGGATATTGTCAGAGCCGGAAGATGACCCAGAAACACGGGCACCACTAGCCAGACGAACCGACGCCCGACGCAGAACGGCAGCAGCCTCTACTACAGGGGGAACCCGACCACACACAGCAGGAGGTTCCGCAGCCACCCCAGCACCCAGCACAGTAGGGACCTGAGGTGAGGCTGCAGGACCAGGTCCAGCAGCCGAAGATGAGGAAGCAGATGACGACGCCCCACAGGGAGTACCAGGAAAGCCCACAGGAGCAACAGGGCCAGAGACAGGAGCAGGAGTAACATCCGATGGCACCGCAACATCCGGAGGAAGGCCGGCGACAACCGGGGAAACAACGGGCGACGCAGGGGGATCTCCTCAGCAGCGAATGGGATGCTCACCTCCTCATCCCCAGAGTCCTCCTCCAAAGGGAGCAGCGGGAAATCCTCTTCACGGAACAAATTCACGACCAAGTCCACAAGCGGGTAACCAACACGGCCAGTAAATTCCAAACCGATGGAGTTTACTCTCACGAGAGCTGGAATATGGCTGCCCATCGCAAACACGCCATGTAGACACCACCAGGAACAGCAGGGAGGGTAGAGACACCCACACCCCCTGCCGGCGAAAATTGCAACTACCCCAAAACTGCCGGATCAGTCAAACGACACGTCTACACCGCACGGCAGCTCAGGTGAGACTCCCCAGGGGGCAGGTGCAGTTTGAGGTGTGGCGCGCCCGCTAGCCGGGGATACGGCTGGCGGTATGGCTGTAGCTGGTGATACCCATGTTCGGTGGGTAGATACTACGGCTGGATTTTTCTGGTGCAGTGGACTGGCCCATTGTGGAGACTGCTCTCCTGGACGTGCTCCATGTCGACGTCTCTGGTCTACTGGGGCTGGAAAAGATCTCGCCTACCTGTGTGGCGGTGTCGTTTGCCACTTCGCTGCTTTACCAGGAGTTTGTGGCACGCTGGGATGCACACTCGCTTCCTATTCCTGCTTCGCATGTGACTGTGGAGATACGGATCCCTGGGGGCCTTTGGCATTTGTGAGTGTTCACGGTGTGCCGGTGACCTTCCCCGAGGCGGAGATTATGTCGGTGTTTCCGCAATATGGTGTGGTGGTGAAGCAACGGTTCACCACTTTGAGTGCGGTGAACAATATACCAACTTGGGAGCGGTAATCTACACACAGTAATGAAAACTTACCAACTTGGGAGCGGTAATCTACTCACAGTAATAACAACTTACCTACTTGGGAGCGGTAATCTACTCACAATAATGACAACTTACCAACTTGGGAGCGGTAATCTACACACAGTAATGACAACTTACCAACTTGGGAGCGGTAATCTACACACATTAATGACAACTTACCAACTTGGGAGCGGTAATCTCAACGTAGTACTCGGTGAAGTAATTGAAGACTTGACTACCTGTCAGTTGGATCACCAAGTAGCCGACGGTCTGTGGCTCCTCGCTCGGCACCACACCAGGGTAGTTCTGACAACACAACCACAGTGTTACTGGTGGGGGGGGGGGTAGTTCTGACAACACAACCACAGTGTTACTGGTGGGGGGGGGGGGTAGTTCTGACAACACAACCAGTGTTACTGGTGTGTATGTGTGTGTGTGTGGGGGGGGGGGGGGGGGTAGTTCTGACAACACAACCACAGTGTTATTGGTGGTGGTGGGGGGGGGGGGTAGTTCTCGCAACACAACCATAGTGCTTTTGGTGGTGGTGGGGGGGAGGTAGTTCTGTCAACACAACCACAGTGTTACTGGGGAGGGGTAGTTCTGACAACACAACCAGTGTTACTGGTTGGGGGGGAAGTAGTCCTGACAACACAACCACAGTGTTGCTGGTGAGGGGGGGGGGGAGTAGTTCTGACAACACAACCAAAGTGTTACTGGTGGGGGGGGGTAGTTCTGACAACACAACCACAGTGTTACTAGTGGGAGGGGAGGTTAATTCTGTCAACACAACCACACTGTTACTGGTAGGGGAGGGGGTAGTTCTGACAACACAACCACAGTGTTACTGGTGGGGGGAGGGGGTAGTTCTGACTACACAACGACAGTGTTACTGGTGGGGGGGGGGGGTGGATGGTTCTGACAACACAACCACAGGGTTTCTGGGGGGGGGGGGGGGGGGTAGATCTGACAACACAACCACAGTGTTACTGGTAGGGGGGGGGTAGTTCTGACAACACAACCACAGGGTTACTGGTGGGGGGGGCGTAGTGCTGACAACACAACCACATTGTTACTGGTGGGGGGTAGTTCTGACAAGAGAACCAAAGTGTTACTGGAGAAGAGGTAGTTTTGACAACACAACCAAAGTGTTACTGGTGGGGGGGGGGGTAGTTCTGACAACACAACCACAGTGTTACTAGTGGGAGGGGAGGTTAGTTCTGTCAACATAACCACACTGTTACTGGTAGGGGAGGGGGTAGTTCTGAGAACACAACCACATTGTTACTGGAGGGGGGGGGTGTAGTTCTGACAACACAACCACAGTGTTACTGGTGGAGGGGGGGGCGTAGTGCTGACAACACAACCACATTGTTACTGGTGGGGGGGGGGGGGTGGGGGTAGTTCTGACAACACAACCACAGAGTTACTCGTAGGAGGGGTAGTTATGACAACACAACCAAAGTGTTACTGGTGGAGGGGGGGGGGGTTCTGACAACGACACCACAGTGTTATTGGTGAGGGGGCATAGTTCTTACAACACAACCACAGGGTTTCTTGTGGGGGGGGAGGGGGTAGTTCGGTCAACACAACCACACTGTTACTGGTGGGGGAGGGGTAGTTCTAAGAACACAACCACAGTGTTACTGGTGGGGGGGGGCATAGTTCTGACAACACAACCACAGGGTTTCTGGTGGGGGGGGGGGGGTAGTTCTAACAACACAACAACATTGTTACTGGTGGGGGGGGGGGGGGTAGTTCTGACAACACAACCACAGTGTTTCTGGTGGGAGGAAGGTAGTTCTGACAACACAACCACAGTGTTACTGGTGTGGGGGGGGGGGGAGTTCTGTCAACACAACCACAGTGTTACTGGTGGTGGGGGGTAGTTCTGACAACACAACCACAGTGTTATTGGAGGGGGTAGTTCTGACAACACAACCACAGTGTTACTGGCGAAGGGGTAATTTTGACAACACAATAACAGTGTACTGGTGGGGGGTAGTTCTGAAAACACAACCAGTGTTACTGGTGGGAGGGGGTTGTTCTGACAACACAACAACAGTTACTGGTGGGGGGTAGGTCTGACAACACAACCACAGTTTTACTGGTGGGGGTAGTTCTGATAACACAACCACAATGTTACTGGTGGGAGGGGGTAGTTCCGACAACACAACCACAGTGTTACTGGTTGGGGGGGGGGGAGTAGGTCTAACAACACAACCAGTGTTACTGGTGGGGTAATTCTGACAACACAATTACAGTGTTACTTGTGGGAGGAGGGTAGTGCTGGCAACACAACCACAGTGCTACTGGTGGGGTAATTCTGACAACACAATTAGTGTTTCTAGTGGGGGTGGGTAGTTCTGACAACACAACCACAGTGTTACTGGAGAGGGGGGGGGTAGTCCTGACAACATAACCACAGTGTTGCTGGAGGGGGGGGGGGGGGGTAGTTCTGACAACACAACTACAGTGTTAATGGTGGGGGGGGGGGTAGTTCTGACAACACAACCACAGTGTTACTGGTGGGGGGGGGGTTCTTCTGTCAACTCAACCACAGTGTTACTGGGGGGGAGGTTAGTTTTGACAACACAACCACAGTGTTACTGGTGAAGGGGGGGATAGTTCTGACAACACAACCACAGTGTTACTGGAGGTGGGGGGGGAAAGAAGTTCTGACAACACAACCACAGTTTTACTGGTGGGGGGTAGTTATGACAACACAATTACAGTGTTAATGGAGGGGGGGGGGGGTAGTTCTGACAACACAACCACAGTGTTACTGGTGAAGGGGGTGGTAGTTCTGACAACACAACCACAGTGTTACTGGTGGGGGGGGGGGGGGTGGTAGTTCTGACAACACAACCACAGTGTTACTGGTGGGGGGGGGGGGGAGGTAGTTCTGATAACACAACTACAGTGTTACTGGTGGGAGGGGGTAGTTCTCATTCTAGGTGGTATTGAGGAAGGGTGAGGACACTGTACTAGGTTGTATGGGAGCCGGTCGGCCGAGCGGACAGCACGCTGGACTTGTGATCCTGTGGTCCTGGGTTCGATCCCAGGCGCCGGCGAGAAATAATGGGCAGAGTTTCTTTCACCCTATGCCCCTGTTACCTAGCAGTAAATAGGTACCTGGGTGTTTGTCAGCTGTCACGGGCTGCTTCCTGGGGGTGGAGGCCTGGTCGAGGACCGGGCCGCGGGGACACTAAAAAAAAAGTCCCGAAATTATCTCAAGATAACCTCAAGATAGGTTAGGTTAGGTTTGATTAGGATGAGAACACTGTATTATGAGGTGTTGAGGCAGGGTGACGAAATTATACTAGGTGGTGTTGAGGCAGGGTGAGGACACTATATTACGAAATGTTGAGGCAGGGTGAGGACACTATACTAGGTGGTGTTGAGGCAGGGTGAGGACACTATACTAGGTGGTGTTGAGGCAGGGTGAGGACACTATACTAGGTGGTGTTGAGGCAGGGTGAGGACACTGTACTAGGTGGTGTTGGGGCAGAGTGAGGACACTGTACTAGGTGGAGTTGAGGCAGGGTGAGGACACTATACTTGGTGGTGTTGAGGCAGGGTGAGGACACTATACTTGGTGGTGTTGAGGCAGGGTGAGGACACTATACTTGGTGGTGTTGAGGCAGGGTGAGGACACTATACTTGGTGGTGTTGAGGCAGGGTGAGGACAATATATTAGGAGGTGATGAGGCAGGGTGAGGACATTATACTAGGTGGAGTTGAGGCAGGGTGAGGACACTATATTAAATAGTGTAGGCAATGAGTCACAATAACGTGGCTAAAGTATAATGACCAGACCACACACAAGAAGGTGAAGGGACGACGACGTTTCGGTCCGTCCTGGACCATTCTCGTGTCGATTGTCGAAACGTCGTCGTCCCTTCACCTTCTAGTGTGTGGTCTGGTCATTTATTGGATAGTGTTGACGGAGGGTGAGAAATCTATACTAGGTGGTGTTGAGGGAGGGTGAGGACGCTATATTAGCTTGTGTTGAGGCAGGGTGAGGATACTATATTAGATGGTGTTTACACTGGGGTGAGGACACTATACTAGGTGGTGTTGAGGCAGGATGAGGACACTATACTAGGTGGTGTTGAGGCAGTGTGAGGACACTATACTAGGTGGTGTTGAGGCAGGGTGAGGACACTATACTAGGTGGTGTTGAGGCAGGGTGAGGACACTATACTAGGTGGTGTTGAGGCAGTGTGAGGACACTATACTAGGTGGTGTTGAGGCAGTGTGAGGACACTATACTAGGTGGTGTTGAGGCAGGGTGAGGACACTATACTAGGTGGTGTTGAGGCAGTGTGAGGACACTATACTAGGTGGTGTTGAGGCAGGGTGAGGACACTATACTAGGTGGTGTTGAGGCAGGGTGAGGACATTATACTAGGTGGTGTTGAGGGAGGGTGAGGACAATAAACTAGGTAGTGTTGAGGCAGGGTGAGGATACTATACTAGGTGGTGTTGAGGCAGTGTGAGGACACTATACTAGGTGGTGTTGAGGCAGTGTGAGGACACTATACTAGGTGGTGTTGAGGCAGTGTGAGGACACTATACTAGGTGGTGTTGAGGCAGGGTGAGGACACTATACTAGGTGGTGTTGAGGCAGGGTGAGGACACTATACTAGGTGGTGTTGAGGCAGTGTGAGGACACTATACTAGGTGGTGTTGAGGCAGGGTGAGGACACTATACTAGGTGGTGTTGAGGCAGGGTGAGGACATTATACTAGGTGGTGTTGAGGGAGGGTGAGGACGCTATATTAGCTGGTGTTGAGGCAAGGTGAGGATACTATATTAGATGGTGTTTACACTGGGGTGAGAAAACTATACTAGGTGGTGTTGAGGCAGGGTGAGGACACTATACTAGTTGGTGTTGAGGCAGGGCGAGGACACTATACAAGGTGGTGTTGAGGCAGTGTGAGGACGCTATATTAGATTATGTTGAGGCTGGTTTAGGACACTATGCTTGGTGGGATTGAGGTAGGGTGAGGACAGAATATTCGATGATGTTGAGGCAGGGTGATGACACTGTATTAGGTGTTGTTGATGGAGGTTGAGTACACTATAGTAGGTGGGACAACAACAGTAATCACCAAAATGGCAGACTGCTCCTAGTGAGATTAACTTGGTTGCGTGGTGACCACCGGCCAGGTCGGACGCTCCTGAGGTCTCTCCGCACTGGCTAGTGTTTACGTTGGGTGATTGCTTGTTTGCCCTGCTGGTGGTGGTTTGCCACTGACAGGGTGACGTTTGCCTTCGCCATGGGGTCATCTCGCCCTCCAGTG